TCTCTCGCTTCAGGTATCTCCCCCAGGTCTCTCTCTCGCTTCAGGTATCTCCCCCAGGTCTCTCTCTCTCTTCAGGTATCTCCCCCAGGTCTCTCTCTCGCTTCAGGTATCTCCCCCAGGTCTCTCTCTCTCTTCAGGTATCTCCTCCAGGTCTCTCTCTTTCTGTCTCTCTCAATTTCTCACTCACTCTCTCACTCTCTTTCAGTATCTCCCCAGGTCTCTTTTTCTCTCTCTCTCCTCTCTACCTCCCTCTCTCCAGGTATCTTCAGGTATCTCAGGTCTAAATAGATAAAAAAAAGATATAAAACAACAGCTTAAATCAGAGGAAAAGCATCCAGCAAGCTGCCAGTTAATGGTACAGCCGCCCTGTAATTAACTGCTGATTTCCTGGTGGGCTGCAGCTCCCAGAGACGGAGGATGTCCCATCAGCCCCAGCACATTAACATGCACGGGACCGTTTACTCTCCATCGCCAGTTTGAGTCACACAGAACAGTGAAAGCTTTCGGAAATCTGTTTAAAATTTTAATAGATTTTTCCTGAGCGGGGAGGCTGGCGGTCTGTAAGGTGTGTAAATGAGTGCAGCTCATTAGCTGGTCTCGATCTCACTCCCCAACACGCGGTAATTACAGTGCAGCTGTTCCCAAACGAGGGCCACGCAGAGAGCGCGCTCCACATGGCGCGTACAGCTCACCCGGGGTGCCGGCCCCCCCGCCCCGCCCCGCCGCGCTCACACTGAAGCAGCTGCATGATGCTCTTTTTAATGGCGGGATCCGTTAGATGGATCCGCTCCCAGGCTCACTGGAGAATCAGCTTTGATTTGTGTGCGGCTGTTAAGGGCCGGGATCCTGACCACTTCCTCTCCTCACAGCCCAACCGGTATTTATCACGGGAAGCCACACATCTGCATGGTTAGTCCTATTAAACTACGAGGTGGGGGCACATTGCCTAATGGGACGGGCACTGGCTGGCCTCCTGTGAGCAGACTGGGGAGCAGGTTATTATTGGGCATCTGCCCCAGCGGTTGTCAGGGGGGTTAATGGTGACACCTTGGCATGGACACTATCTCACATAAGGCAGGCCACGCCCCCCCCTCTGACCTCACAGTCTCAAATAGTGTCCCTGCCTCACCCTCAGATCCGCAATGTGGAGACCAACCAGTGCCTGGACAACATGGCAAGGAAGGAAAACGAGAAAGTCGGCATCTTCAACTGCCACGGAATGGGCGGCAATCAGGTGAGCCTCCACTTCCAGCCACGTCTGAGCGTGACATGGGGGTGTTATGGTGTCGCTGGGGGTAGTATGGTGTGCCTTGGGGGTGTTATGGTGTCGCTGGGGGTAGTAGGGTGTGCCGTGGGGGTGTT